ATGGGCTCTTAAAATTTACCACTCTCCTTGTGAAGACATCCTCGTGAAGGTTTGCATAGTTGTGTGATTAAGAACGAGCAACTTCACCATGGTTAAATCCCCCCCCCCCAAAGTAAATTCTAACATCAGTGCTCTTCAACTATCTGTGGTTCTAATCTGGCAAAAGCCATGGAATTTGAACGCAGTAGTTTCCAACGTCAGTATACGGTGAACAGTTCCCCCGAAGAAGATTACGTTGAATCGATAGAGGTCTTTGGCCAACTTTGCACACATCGGATGTAGAAATCTCAAGAAGGTTTATTACCTAGTTCAAACAAGACTGCAAAGCAGATGTTTTTCTCTCTAAAACAAAAAAGATATAAAAAATATTCTTGAGTTACATTTACAAGGAGGCATTATCGACCAACAAAAAAAAACTCAATGCTTTTGAAAATTCCAAGTGCAAATTGATAACCACATACTACAAATATCGAAAAATCCAAACAAAAGCTGCCGTCTATTGACTCGTCAGCTTAAAAACAAGATTCAATTTTCACAATGCCAATATAAAAATAATCTGCTAAAAACAATTTAAACAATTATCCTAGCTTTGTAAGTTCATTTGGTGAACTCCAGTGAATTCCAAGGAAAACCTGTCGCGGTAATCAGCCTGAATGCTACCTGGTGATCGCCGCATGCTTCCGAAACTCGGGTGGTTAGTTTGAATGTGAAAAGATCAATAGTGTCATTGCGGCCTCGTAACTCTTCCGGTAGAACATGTGCTGTACAACAACATCGGCGGCGTCTATACGTGAGTTCAAATCCCCCGACGCTACTGAACATTTGACAATTTCAACAAAATATCTGTTATTCTACCCGAGTCAGGAAAGAACAAGAGATGGTGGTCATAAACCGGGACTCCTATGTAAGAAAACACCCAAAAATAAGTGCATATAATAGCAAGTCTTCACCAGTCTTCAAATGGTGAACGGAACGCCACCTTTGGAATAATGGTGGGCAATTGAAGAGGAAGGTTGTATCAAGAATGCCTTCTGTGATGAAGACATGGGCGCAGGCATTTTAATTTGACTGTGAGTCGTGTGCATATCTCACTGCACCTTTTGGTTCATCGTTGCTTTTGTATTTCCCATGTCTTGCAGGTTGCCTGGAAGCCCTTCCACGGAGAACCTACTGTGAGAAGTGAGCTCTACCTATGTATTGAGAGCTTCTTTGAGAGGTCAGGGATTGTGCGGTCTTTTTGGAATGACGCTAGTCGTATAAGAACTCGGACTGTATGACCCGGAGTCAACTTCCTGCCAGAGTTTTTTTTGAGTGAATTCCGAACTGGGGGCGGTCTTGCATACTACACTTTCTGGAAAAGCTAAAGCCATATAGGTCAACTATCCCTCCCTAAAAGAGGCTTCTCAATTACTAGCTGACCATGACCAAGGTGGAAACACTGTATCACATAACATCAAAATGCCTGTTCAAGCCATTGGAATCCATCCCTGGTGAACTAACCAACCACGGACTTCACGACAGATTTCAGTTCTTACCTGGTATAGAGATATTAAACTGACGAGTAAAAACGCTGTTTTAATCCAATTGTTTTTCTTTATTCACAATTATCTCATTGGTGGAGACCGCTTCCCATCCGTTTGTCCGGAGGAAGGCCTTTCAATGAAATCCTTACTATGTTTTGATGTTAAATCTTTGTAAAGAGACTAAAAGAAACACTGAAACAATAATCGAGGATTTATTTTACTGCAGTAAGTTTCACGAACTATCTCTTCAAGAATACGCGCTTTAATACACTGACCCAATTCAACACCAAAGACAACTCGCTAAAACTCACTTCGAAAAATTGATAAGGTACTGGAGTTCTTAAATCGATTGGTGTGTTGTGAAAATTGTAGTTCCCTACAGAAATGGAAACAAATGTGTAACGTCCAACACTCGAAATTCGGCAGGTTTATACCGTTCCAATGAGAAATTTTATTTTGGCAATGGAACCGTTTTTGAGATTCCTTAGAGAAAAAGCTTACTTTTGTCCTAAAAACAAGTTATCAGGTTGGCATCCCTTACCAGTTAAGTGAGACACACACATAGCAGTTATTATTATAGCAGTTATTATTATAGCAGTTATTATTATTAGTCATGAATGCACTGAATTCCTTCAGGTAACTGACTCACGCTCGGTCTAAGCTGCACCATGATTCGCAATGTGAGCCTTTGTTTTTACATAACAAGTTTTCTCCAATCATGTGAGCCTCTAATGTAACACTCAGTCATCATTTACCATTCAATTGGTGT